TGAGGGGGTTGAAGCAATCTTACCGCTCCCAGGTATCCTGACTGTGGCCTCTACTGGGGCTATTACAGTGGTGCTGGTCTGTTCTAGGGTCCCAGGTTTGCAGAAGTCCCCTTGGACTTGAAAGTTGCCTCCAAAATATGTGCAAGTGGCTCTCTGTCTCAGTGTGGACATGCAGTGACAGAGTGTGAGGGAGGAGCAGGAGGATTCTCTTGTTCCCAGTCTTGCACAGGTCACTGAGGAGACTGTGAATCCCCCTGAAGAGTCTCACACATTCACCCTTTCCCATACTGGGGAGCTTCTCCTGGCTCCATGTTTATCCCAAATAAGCCTTGGTGCCCCACTTCACTCCTGTCTGCTGTCCGTGTCCCCTTGTTGCCTGGATAGACCCTGATGTGGTTTCTTAGATGAACAGCATTTAGGGTCTGTGTTTACTCTCCCCTTTGCTTCCTCCCTGTGAGAGCACATGAGCTGCTTTTAGTCTACCATCTTGAGCCCACCCCCTCCTAGGAATATTTTTAATTATACACACACACACACACACACACACACAAACACACACACACAAACACACAGAGTTAAATGAGATAAATAAATATATTGCAAATACTGCTACATTTTCTTCAAATTCTATTCGTGGGATTAAACATGACTAGATAATTCACGTCTTTTAAAATATATTATAATTGGTTTAAAAACATTTTCTATTTCATTAACTATTCATTAGCAGAATCTTCACATTTTATCTTAAAGGAGTCACTGTCTCAGAGATAAAGAATGTTAAGACGCTGAACAATAACCTAGACTTAAAGAGGTTCAATCACCATAAATAAGTAAAACTGCAGATAATATAATGATTTGTTCCAATAATTATAATTTTCATTTGGATTTTATTTACTATGGCTTGTGTATGATGCTAGAGGCTTCACAAATTTACCTCTAATCTTTACAGAAAATCTACTGGCTAAGTGAATAAGATTAAGAAATTTAAAAATATGTTAATCAAGGCTCAGAAAATTTAAGTAATTTATCAACTATGAGCCAGTTGGTGATGGCAAAATAAGGTCCATAATTGTATTTCATCATTACACAGATTGTGGGGGATGGACAAATATATCAGCACAAATCCAACGCCATTTTGGAATACAGAAATCAGCATGTTCACCATCCTATTTATAAGAAATGTCTGCTTTTTATATAGGATATATTATAGCACTTAGCTATTAAAAAACTTATATAAACTCATCTATTTCCTGGTTCTGTTTAATACTCAGTCTGGGACTGAAACAGATGTGTTACTTTTTCTTCCCTATTTTGTCAACCTATTTGAAAGTGCACATTGAAATTTATTAAATAGCAATTTTGATGATCGTGGGCTGAGTGGAGATTGAACTGTCTGGAGACTGAAGACAAACCTGTATGTCCATGACTTAGGAGAGTTGTTTTAACTTGTTCAAAGCTAATCTGCAAAAAGCAATAATCTTCTAGAAACCATCAGAGAAAACGTCCTCTAAAATAACTGCTTATGCACTTGATAACTTGCACTGGGCAGTGTATATTGTGAAGCAAATAATAAAGATGATTTGTTAGACCTACTCACACTAAGTTCAAAAGAAGACAGTAAGAAATCTATTTTCTTCCAAATGCCTAAAGCTATAACTCATGATTAAATCATTTTATTATCAATACCTAAGATAATTTTTGAATTTCTTTCAAAATACACAAATGATAGTAAACGTTTTCAGAAAAAAAATTAACATTGGCTGTGAGAACTAAACATTAATGCCTATTTATAATTCTTTTATTTGAAATCATAGAATTGATTTTGTAATGAAATGATAAAAATAATAGAGATCACTAATATTGTCATTTTAAAGGGAAATTTATGTTTTGTGATCTAATTGTGAAAATATGACATGTCCAATCTAAATTAAAGTATTAAAAACAAGTTTTACTCTTCTATTCTCATTATAAAATCAATATGGTTCAGAAAATAATGCTGAATAATCATTAATGTGCTCCCAAAATTGTAGCTATGAGAACAGTGTGAAAAATCTGATATATTTTAATATAAATCTCTCCTATAGAGAGTGCTGAGCTGTAACTGCCAAAAGATATCTGAGATTTTTAGCTGAATAAATCATTTTAGCTTTTTAGGTCAATAAAAAGTTAGAAGTGGGAGAGAAATTTCCCCAAAGGTAAAACTGAAAGCAAATGGACTCTTCTCTATTGAATATTCATTTATAATACTGGAGAAGAGAGCATTGAAATGTTGGAGGAAAACAATTATCCCGTCAGGCTCTTGGAGTCCAGTCTCCCAAGTTCAAGAACAATAGTTCCTATTGCACTTACCAGAGACAGTTTTCTGACAAAGCCAACTTAACTCTAATTTTTATTCATATATTTAATAGATTTATTAGCCATCTATCAAATATCATGTTCTATAACCAAAAAGTAGGAATTGAAAAATAAAATCTGGGCCCTAGTCTCATGAAAGGCTCATAGTCCAACGGGCAAGATAGCTATGTAATACTAATCATTTAGAAGTGCTATCATATAGGATTATAAACAGAAGATAAAAGACTGGTACCAAAAAAGGAGTGACTAGTTCTTCTGGTAGTAGAGAAAGCAAAGTGGCACGTGTCTAGCTCACATTTATGACAGCTTCAGTTAGTCATCAGAGAGTTCTCTGACTTAGACAGGCCATCACTGACCAGCAGACATCACTTGATTTCTTTCTGCAGGGAAAAAAGTCTCTCTTCATTCTGAACGCAGGTAATGCTGCAGGAGTAATTCAATTTCTTGGATTTGTACTTCAGACTGGAAAAATCCAATGGGTGGCTTTAAAATCATTTGGAAACTACTTTGGTGAGATAATCAAATTGTTTCACAGAAATAATCTCTTCAATAGTCACCTTATCTCTTGGAGGTAGACTAAAAAAAATCCTATTTTTTTATTATACTTTAAGTTCTAGGGTATATGTGCAGAACGTGCAGGTTTGTTACATATGTACACATGTGCCTATTTTAAAAGTAACAAGAAATTAAATGACCCACCTGAAGACACTGTCTGTGGAGTTAGTGCTGTGCATGAGCAACTGCCCAAGGACTTCATGAGAGGGTGGAGTCTGAAGAACCCTCATAGTTTACACCAGTTACATAATTTACACTTATTAGTATAAAATGGGGCTAGGATAAATTTCAATTGAAAAGTCCTTTTCTTCAAGATAGTTTTTTCTTATTTTCTTGTCATCTTCCTCACTTAACTGTGGGGTTCAGTAAACAAATATATCAAGGTAACATTAAATATCAATAAAACCACCACAGAATCCGAAGAGAAACGGTCATGTTGAAATTTAGTTTTTATACTAATTTCATCCTCCACTACATTAAAATATAATGATATTAAAAATGTATTTCCTGGGTTACTGGTGATATTCTGAAGGGCTTGCTGCTCTCTGTGGGAGTAGAGGGTAGCCACAGTATAGCCAGGGAAGTTGCCCAAGGAACGGAAGCTGAAGCTGTAGAATGATCATGGGTGAGGTTTTAGAATCTGCTCATGTTTGCCTAACAAACGTAACAGCCACAGTGAATGAAATTCTTAAAATCTTAGCATTAACAGGTATTGATGTATTTACTATTATTGATGAAAATCAGGTCAGCACAAAAGGTGGTGGATACATTACTTTTTCCTTCAAATGAGCAGTATCACAAGAACTGAGCTTGAGTTACCATGGAGTTCTTATAAACTAATTAAAGATGCGTCTACAAGCTTTGTGAGAGTTCAGAAAACCTTCCAGTGATCTTTTGTTTTCCTATATTTTCACCACTGTGGTTGCAATTTGGCTTCCTGATAGTACACTATGATGCTTCCTGATGCCCTCAGGAATTCTCAAATCCCTCTTTTAAACTTTAGGACATATGGACCAGTTGGCCATAGAAGGATCATTATAAAAGGATATACAATAATAGAATTTCACCCAGATAGTGCATTCAAGATCTGTGACTGGATAAATTGTTTTCTGAGCTGACAGAATATTTCAGTCTTCTGTTTTAGATCATATGTTTTTTTAAAAAAAAAAAAAAACATAGCCATACCCCAAAGATTGTGATCATAGATAAATATTTAGCACAGTAGAATAGTAAAACAAATGGGTGAGTATTCAAAATGTATGAAGAAAAAAGGCACTTAAGGATTTGATTATACAAAAGATTCTAAATAATACAAATAGGACTTCAGAAGATGAAAAGAATTCTGAAGAAACTTAAAATATGAACATGGCAATAAATACTACTTACATACCAAATATTTAAGATATATTTAATAATAATTTCTGAATAAATATCAGCAAACAAACTTCATCCTTTGGCATTTATGCCTTAAAGGAATTTGTGGCCAAGGAAGGTCAAGGAAATTTACCTATTCAAGTACAATTTCTGACACAATTGCCAACTTGAAAAAAATACATAAATATACAAAATATTTACTGTGTGGAAGCAAAAGAGTGTGTTTCTCCTGTGAATAACCATGTCGACAAAATGCTGCAGTCCATAGGCCAGGTGAATGACGACATTGCAAAGAAAGAATTAAAATTACCCTGTAGCAATTCTTTATTTCTTAGAGTCTTAAGATGTGAATCCTTTACTGAAGAATATGGTTTGGATACAATTAACAAGAATAAAATCTTTTCCACCATGGACATTACCAGGTAATGAAATAGTATTGTACTTAATATTATGGACTATTGATAGATTTTATATGCAACAATATAGATGTGCATGGATATCTAACTATTAAGTTGAAGAAAATTTATGAAAATGAAAGTCTTGTTTTACTGGTTTCCTTCAGGACTATAGATTCTCTATTCATAAATTTTGTAAAACTGGAGCTGCTGAAAACACACTATTGATTCCTGAGAGACGTTGTTACTCAAAAGATTATCGAGATAGTCACTAAACCATTAGTAATTGTTAATAACACATTTATTTTGGAATGTCACAAACTTCAGCAACTTCTCAGTTGTGGAATAATAGTGTGTTAATGAATCAAACTGTAATTGCTCCAGGTAGTGCTCTACTCTATAAAATTCTGCTGAGAGCGCTGTTAAATTATTTCCTTATTAACATTTTTCTCCCTTGTAAAAATAAAATTTATTTCAGATGATTCTGTTACCCAGTAATACTGCAAGGACTGGCACTGTCCTGTCATTTTTAATTATGTCTCTATCAACATTTTGGATGAAAACCTGAAGCCTGCTTTCCCAGAAAGGAAATTCAATTGTGGGATAAACAACAACAACAAAAAAAGCCACTTTTTCTCCCCTCCATTTAATCACTATGTCTTTGCTTGAGTTCCTGGATCTGATCATCACTAGATTTCTATTTTATCCTTCTGTTTCTTCTCAGTGTCCTTGGCTAGTTCCTCCTCATATTCTTGACATTTAAAAATTGGAGTGGCCCAGAGCTTAATTCCTGAACACTTTTCTCTCTTTTAGGAACATTAATACCTTTGATGGTATAATCCAATTGCTTTGAGTATCACCTTTAAACGAATAAATGCAGATGTGTACTTTAAGCCCATTCCTCCTCCCTGGATTCTACACACACTATACAATTACCCACTTTTAGTGATTTTGTACTGTGTCAACTTGGCTAAGCTGGGGTATGATTTCCCCTAATTCTTTTCCCTGTGCACTTCCAAGTTATGGTTGATCACACAAAAAAATTGAGATTTGGAAACAAAGCAGGGGTCATTAAGCATGGAATGTTGATGCAGGGTGCCAGGGGCTGCTGCAGTTCACACACATTTTCACTAATCTCCTGGCTCGCCTTGCTAATGAGGAAGGTCACAGTATTCAGTCTCTCTGGCTGCCATTGCATGTTCTCGTTCAGCTTCTCTGGTTTGGGGCCAAGTACATTGTGTGTCTGTGGCAACACAATTCGGCATCTTCAGCAGGCCAGTCCTCCTCATTGAGAACAGAGGGAATAAGAGAAAAAGTTCCACTTTGCCATGGTAGGTTATTCCGTATTGTTTTTGTGGATTCATTTTCTATTGCTAACTCGGTGTTCACTATCTTTCTTCTTTCCAGCTGCCAGTCCTGCTGTCTGAGAGTGATTCCAAGATCACCACCAGAGGCAAATGTAATAGCTTCCAAAGAAATCTTCACCAGTTCCAACAATTTTGGAAGGTCTAACCTCTGTAATAAGCCGCTCCTACCATATCCTTCTTAGCGGTCCTGCTTCCTTGATTAAATCCTAATGGATGTGCTACATGTTACTCGATGCCTATTCGGCCTCTCAAATGTAGCACATTCACAACTGAATTCCTGATATTACTTCTACCACAAACTTGCCCTTCTCATGTTCTCCAGCACATTAAAAGCAACTTTTTTCTTCCTCTCATTCAAGCCAAACATCTTGGAGTCATCCTTGATGCCTTTCACCTGCATTCATATTATTTATTTCAGTGACGTCTTTAAAATATATTCTTCCATCCTCTACCTGGCACTTCACCCTGTCCTAAGTAAGTGATGTCTCACTGGCATAATTACATTAGTTTTGCTATGTGTCTTCTCGTTTCTGATCCTGCTCCTAAATCTATTACCCATTCACCTGACAGACTGAGTCTGTTACAAAATAAATAAGGTAATATTACTTCTTTGTTCAGGAATTTTCAAGGTTTTCAATCTCAGTTGGAGTAACAGCTTAAGTTCTTATGCTGATTCAAAAGGCCCTAATTCACCTGGTGCCACTATGACCTTTTCTTATTGTCTCTCCTTCTCTTTCTTTTTCTCGCTCTCTCTAGATCACCTCTATTCTATCTACATTGACCTCCTCCTCAAGCCAGGGATTCTCCTGCCTCCAGATGTTCATGCTTGCTTTTTCCTCTGCCAGAGGTGCTTTTCTACAAGAAATCACATGACTCCTCTTTCCCTTTCTTCCAGACTTGTTTTTATTTTTTATCCTTCCAGAAAACCAGCTTTAAAATTACAACCCTACTCACTCACAAAATATCTTCCTTCCTTGCTAAAGACTTTTGTCCTTACCACTTAGCTCTCATTATAATTTTATTTATATATATATATGTTTTATTTATTTCTTTTGTATGTCATCTACTAGACTATTAATTTGATTAGGGTAATTATATTGGCTGTTCTATCCAATAGATCCAATAGTGTAACCCAAATCCACGGTGCCATGTCTGGCAAATAGCAGGCTCTTAATAAATATTTGTTGGATAAGGAATGAATGCCAATGTGAAAATTAATACAGTGGCTAAAATCAAAAGGAGTAAAACCTTAGAAATTTCATGTGATTCAATGTGACTGATAAAATGACACGGGTCTAGTATAGGAACTATGCTACAATAGCAGCCATTATTTCAGGACCTAATGAATGTAACATGAGTGGCCTAATCAAATTAAACCTCTCAAATCAAGTCTCTCCTCAGGCCTCTCTCTTCCCTGAGACACAATAATATTGAAATTTGGGCAACTAAGAACTCTACAGTGACTTCTAAGTGTTCAAGTGAAAGGAAGAGTCACATTTGTCTCACCTTAAATCAAAAGCTAAAAATGGGCTGAGCATGGTGGCCCACATCTGTAATTCCAGCATTTTGGGACACCAAAGCGGGAGTATCACTTGAGGCCAAAAGTTTGATATCAGCCTGGGCAATATAGCCAGATTGTGTCTTTAGTAAAAAATAAAAAATAGCTGCCATGGTGACTCATGCCTTTCATCCTAGCTCCTCTGGAGGCTGAGGTTGGAGGATCACTTGACCACAGGAGGTCAAGGCTGCAGTGAGCCAAGACTGTGCCACTGCACTCTGGCCTGGGTGAAAAAGCAAGACCCTGTCCCTAAATAAATACTTAAATTAAAAATTAAATTTTTAAACAGCTAGAAATGATTAAGGTATGTTAAAAGTTAAGATCGACTGAAAACTGGACCTCTTGCACCAAACAGTTAACGAAGTTATAAATGCAAAATAAAAGTTTTTGATGGAAATTAAACATATAATTTCAATAAACACATGAATGATAAGAAAGCCAGACAACCTTACACCAATATGGGGAAAGTTTGAGTGATCTAAATAGAAAATCAAACCATCTACAACCTTCCTTTAAGCGAAAGCATAACCCAAACCAAGGTCCTAACTCTCTTCAACTCTAAGGAGGCTGAGAAAGGTGAGGAAGCTACAGAAGAATTGAAAGCTAGCCCAGAGATGGGCTCATAAAGTTTAAGAGGCCATCTCCATGACATAAAAGTGCAAGACGAAGCATCAAGTACTGATGTAGAAACTGCAGCAAGTTATCCAAAAGAACTTGCTAAAATAGTACTGAAAAGAGTTATGCTTAGCAAATTTTCAGTGTAAGTGAAACAGTCTTTTATTGGAAGAGGGTGTCATCTAGGACATTCATAGCTACAGAGAAAAATCCAATGTCTGGCTTCAAATCTTCAAAGGACCGGCTGATTCACTTATTAGGAGCTAAGGCACCTGATAACTTCAAGTTAAGCCGATGCTTGCTTGTCATCTCAGAAATCCTAGGACCCTTAAGAATTATGCTAAATCTGCCCTGCCTGTGCTCTAGAATTGAAACAACAAAGCCTAGATAATTGCATGTCTATTTATAGCATGATTTACTCGATATTTTAAGTCCAGTATTGAGACCTACTGCTCAAACATTTTTTAAAAAATTTTACTGCTAATTGGCAATGCACCTGGTCACCCAAGAGTTCTGATGGAGATATACAAGGAGATTAATGTTGTTTTCTTGCTTGCTAAAACAACACTCATTCTACAGCCTACGGATCAAGGAGCAATTTTGGCTTTCAAGTCTTATTTAAGAAATACATTTCATAAAACTGTAGCTTCCATAGATAGCAATTCCACTGATGGATCTGGGCAAAGTAAGCTAAAAATCTTCTAGAGAGGATTTACCATTCCAAACTTTATTAAGAACATTCCTGATTCATGAGAGAAGGTCAAAATATCAACATTAGCAGGGGTTTGGAAGAAATTGATTCCAACCCTTGTGGATGACTTTGCAGGGTTCAAGATTTCAGTAACTTCAGGAGGAAGTTACTGCAATGTGGTGGAAATAGCAAAAGAATTAGAACTGAAAGTGAGCCTGAAGATGTGATTGAAATGCTGCAATATCATAAAGTTTTAATGAAGGAGAACTTGCTTCTTATGAATGAGCAAAAAAGTTGTTTCTTGAGATAGAAGCTATTCTTTGTGAAGATGTAGTGAAAGCTTTTGAAATGACAACGAAGGCTTTAGAATATTACATAAACTTGGTAAAGCAGTGGCAGGATTCAAGAGGATTGACTTTGTATTAGTCTGTTCTTGCACTGCTATAAAGAGATACCTGAAGCTGGGTACTTTATAAAGGAAAGAGTTTCATAGGCTCATGGTCTCATAGGCTGTACAGGAAGCAGAGTGGCTTCTGCTTCTGGGGAGGCCTTAGGAAGTTTCCAATCATGGTGAAAGGCAAAGGGAAGCAAGACATCTGTCATGGTTGGAATAGGAGGAAAGTTGGGGAGAGGTGCCACACACTTTTAAACAACCAGATCTTATGACATCTCTCTCATTATCACCAGAACGGCACCCTGGGAAAAATCCACCCACATAATCCAATCACCTCCCATGAGGCCCTACCTCCAACTTTGGGGATTAAAAGTGAACATGAGATTTCAGTGGGGACACAGATCGAAACAGTATCAGACTTTAATTTTCAAAAAGCTTTGCTGTTTGCTATCAAACAGCATCATGTGCAACAGAGAAATATTTTGTGAAAGAAGAGTAAATAAATGCAGAAAACTTAATTGTCTTATTTTAAGAAACTGCCATAGCCATCTCAACCTTCAGCAACAACCACCTTGATCAGTCAGCAGCCATCAATATCAAGCCAAGACTCTCTAGCAGCAAAAAGATTATGCCTCACTGAAGGCTCAGATGATCCTCAGCGTTTCTTGCAATAATTAAGGTATGTAAATTTCTTAGGCATAATGTTAATGCACACTTAACATTATGGAGTTAAGTGTTAGCAACGTAACTTCTACCATTAGTCTTTTCTCACACTACTATAAAGAAATACCTGTGAGGTATGTCTTTACCTTAGCAACTCTGTGAAATCAGCTTTTCATATCTCCATTGTTTACTCCATAGTGGTCTGTAGTATGGTGTAAATATAACTTTTATATGCACTGGGAAACAAAAAAAATTGTGTGACTTACCATATTGCAATATTCAATTCATTCTGGTGGTCTGCAGCCGAACCCACCATATGTCCTAAGTACGCCTGTGTCAAAGACAGTTCTCATTTTTCCTTTATAATTCACTGTGAAGTAATTGTCTACTGAGCAAATGTTACTATTTTATACTAAACAAAGCTCTATAGCTTGTCTCTTTCATGAGTAAAAAAGAAATGTAAAGAAGTTATCTCTTTTGATCTTCAGTTTATAATAATTATGTTTTTTCTCATAAAAATATTTTAATAATAGACTAACACTCAACCTACGTCTTTTTCATTATTTTTAGCCCACCTTAATAACGGAATGTTGCTGTTGTTGGTGAAGAAAAGCCAAACTCAGAAAATATTTGAAGAGTTTTATTCTGAGACAAATTTGAGGATCATGTCCCTTGATACAGCCTCAGGAGGTCCTGAGAACATGTGCCCAAGGTGGTTGTGCTACAGGTTGGTTCTATACATGTTACAGAGACAGAAGTTACAGGCAAAGACATAAATCAATGCATGTAAAATATACATTGGTTTGGTCAGGAAAGGTGGGACATCTTGAGTAGTGGGGCTCCCAGCCAGGTCATGAGTGAATTAAAAGATTTTCTGGCCAACAATTGGTTGAAAGAGTTAAGCTATACGTGAATAATTGAAGTCAGTATAAATACTTGAGTCAAGATAAGGCAGGTTCTGGAAGTCAAGATTCTTGTTATTTAGATGAAGCCTCCAGGTAGCAGGCTTTGGATCAAATAGATAATTAATGTCTCTTATCAGGCCTAAAAATGTGTCAGACTCTCTGGAAAAGGTAGTTCTGGATAGAATATTAAATTGATAAGGAATGAAGATTCTCTACAGAATGTAAACTTCTCCTTCAAGAGACAGCTTTACAGGGCCATTTCAAAATATGCAAAAGAAAATATACATGGGGATAAAATATTCTGATTTCCTTCAGGGCTACCATCTGTCATGTGATGCTATACTAAACTCGGGTTGGAATTTGCCATCATCTAATTGCTACAAAGAGTCTGTTTTGTCAGTCTTATGATCTCTATTTTAATGTTAATACTGGTCAGCTGTGCCTAAATTCCAAAAGGAGGAGAGTATAAGAAGATATATACAACCTCTCTTCCTGTCATGGCCTGAACTAGTTTTTAGGTTTTCTTTCAGATCCCCTTGGCCAAGAGGGAGGATCCATTCAGTCAGTCGGGGGGCTTAGAATTTTATTTTTATTTTACAGCTATTATATCCAGTCTATGTCTACTAGGGGAGAAAAAGCCTTCAAGTAAGATAAAAGTGAGACAAAACAAAACATTCACTCCACTTAATGAGGTATCAGACAGCAGGAAAAGTATCCTTGTAATTTGGGGAGGCATTTCTAGATGGGAGGTTAAATTGATAATGGGAAAGAGATGCTAAAGCAACATATTGATTGCCTCTGATGTGGTCAGACAAGTGTTTATCTGTGTTTTATTTTTCCTTAGCAACTCTGTGTGGTCAGCTTTTTCTATCACCATTGTTTACTTGAATAAATTAAAGATAATAAAATTATACAAGCTGGAATGCATTAATTACACTTAGCTTGTCTCAAAAATAATTGAATAATTTTAAGATCTTACAACTAATAAGCAAATTTGGAACATGCATCTGTCTGATGTCGAGCTTTTACCCTGTCAACAAAATTATCCCATGATTCCCTAGGCAGATGTATGTATAATAACTAGGCAAATTGTTTTTATGGATTCTTTTTTTCTCTACCTAAAATAGTTTAAGGTTATTGGTTTTAATGAAGCTTAGGATACCAAGGCTGATTTTATCTATCCTCCAAGAGTAATTTAAATTTATGTAGGTCATTAAAAACCTGTTTTTACATCTAAGAAAAATCATCACAATTCTAGGATGACTCAAGTACCTAAAAAACACTTGACTTCATAAGGAAACATGTCTCTTCAGCATTATAATTCCTTCAGTGGTCATTTTTGTAGCTTGTACACTTGAGACTGTTTCATTAATACTTTGGAGAATTTTTTGTTGTTGTTTTTAGAGTCTTGCTCTATAGCCCAAGTTGGAGAGCAGTCGCACAATCGCAGCTCAATGCAATCTCCACCTTCCGGGTCCCCATTCAAGTGATTCTCCTGCCTTAGCCTCATGAGTAGTTGGGATTACAGGTGTGCACCACCACACCCAGCTAAGTTTTGTATTTTTAGTAAAGACAGGGTTTCACTATGTTGGCCAGGTTGGCCTTGAACTCCTGACCTCATGATCCGCCCACCTCGGCCTCCCAAAGTGCTGGGATTACAGGTGTAAGCCACTGCGCCCAGCCTTGGTGAGAATTTGACCCCCGACTTGATTCAGTCACTCCCAATGAAACCACCTTTGCAAAAATAAGACAATTATTGCAGTGAAAGAGACCTGACCTAAATGACTCCATCTTGCTTCTAACCTGCAAGCTGTCCTCCTTCATTCCTGGGCTTCGGCTGAACTAACTTTAGGGGAACATAGTTAATGGTTTAGCTTTGAAACAAAGATGATAACAGCCCTTTCCCAACAAACCCTCTTCATATCTGGGGACTAGACTGCCTCTGCAGGACTAACAAATTAAGCCACAAGATTAGAACTTACGGGTTAGGAGTCATGCGGCTGGAGGTTGCAAGATTCTAAACCTCCCCAAATTGCTACTGGGGATAACATCACTATTGTAAAACATAAGATTAGTGCCTGAGATATTTTGCAGACCTTGCACTGAATGAATGATAAACTGGCTTATGTGGTCTTGTGGTCCCCACTCAGGAAGCAACGTAGCACAAAAGGACAGCTTTGACTCCTTAAGATTACATCTTTGATGCAACCAATGAGAACTCCTGACTCACTGGCCCCCTACCCACCAAATTATTATTAAAAACTCTGATCCCCGAAGTCTCATAGAGACTGATTTGAGTAATAATAAAACTCCAGTCTCCCGCATAGCCAGTTCTGCATGCATTACTTTTTCTCTATTGCAGTTCTCCTGTCCTGATAAATCGACTTTTATCTAGGCAACAGGAAAAGTGAGCTCATTGGATATTTACACAAAGACACTGCAAAGTCAAATCTGACAGAAAGTCATCTTCTCTCAAGTTTTACCTACCATGTTCCAAGGCTGTCAGGCATTTAAAAAAAAATGTCTTTCTTCACACTTACAAGTTCATATACTCGCTTTGTATCTATGTTTTAAAAATAAACCAAAACTTCAAATTTCTTCTTTAAATTTAAAATAGAGTCTTCTAAATATGAGAATATTTATCATATGGAAAATTATCTGTACAATTATAGCTACTTATAACATATTAAATATGACTTTGACTATCAACACACCAAACATAGGTTTTTACATGTTAAAAGGGTCTAATGCATCAGTTATATAATAGCTGTAAAAATACAATGCACTACTCTAACACATGTGTCTATCTCATAAGATAAAACATTACTCTTAAGTTTTGCATTGATGGTTGATTAGTGTTATAGCTGTGGATATTTGGCAAAATAGTGGTTTAAGAATATAGACTTTCAGGCCGGGTGTGGTGGTTCACGCTTGTAATCCCAGCTCTTTGGGAGGCTGAGGTGGGTGGATCATGAGGTCAGGAGTTTGAGACCAGCCTAACCAACATGGTGAAACCCTGTCTCCACTAATAATACAAAAATTAGCAGGGTGTGGTTGTGTACACCTGTAATCCCAGCTATTTAGGAGGCTGAGGCAGAAGAATCGCTTAAACCCAGGAAGCAGAGGTTGCTGTGAGCCGAGATCGTGCAACTGCCCTCCAGCCTGGGCAACAGAGCAAGATCCTGACTCAAAAAATATATATATATATATATATTTTATTGAGACAATTTTTTTATATGTATATATATTTTTGAAAGTGTATATATATCCTTTCAAATTCTTGTTGTATGGTAGTAAAAACTGACCTGACCTACATGGTAAAATGAGGTAAATTTCAAACTACTTCATGGACCACTTTTGCCAGCATCTGTTATTTTCTGTCTTTGTGATAATAGCCATTTCAGCTACATATGACGATATCTCATTTTGGCTTTGATTTGCATTTCCCTTATGATTATTGATGTTTAGCATTGTTTCATGTACTTATTAGCCATTTGTATATCTTTTTTTGAGAAATGTCTGTCTGGATCCTTTGTCCATTCTTAAATCAGATTTGTTTCCTTGCTATTGAGTTGTATCTATTGTATATATTTTATGTTAAACTCTTATCAGATGTATGTTTTACAAATATTTAATATTTGTAAGTTGTCTCTCTTCACTGTGTTCATTTTGCTGTGCAGATTTTTAATTTGATATAATTCCATTTGTCTATTTTTGCTTTTTTGTCCCAACAGCATTTATCGAAGAGACTGTCTTTTTCCATTGTGTATTCGTGACAGTTGAAAATCAGTTGACCATAAATGCACTGATTTATTCCTGAGACTCCATCCTGTTCCATTGGGTTATGTGTTTGTTTTTATGCTGTTACTAAGTTGTTCTGATTATTATGCTTTTTAAATGTATTATAAATTCAGGTTTTGTGATGGCTTTAGCTTTGTTCTTTTTGCTCAAGATTGCTTTGGCTATTTAGGCTTTTTGGCTATCCCCCTAAGAATTTTTTGATATTTTAAAATTTGTATGAAAAAAGTCATAGGAATTTTGAAAGGAATTGCATTGCAGTTGAATATCATTTTAGGTAGTATGAACGTCTTAACATTAATTCTTCCAATCTGCACGGATCTGTTTCCACTTATTTGTGCCTTCTTCCATTTGTTTCATCAATGTTTCATAGTTTTATATGTAAAGGTCTTTCACTTCCTTGGTTAAATGCATTCTAAGTTTTTTTTTTTTTCTGTAGCTATTGTAAATGTGATTGTTTTCATTATTTCATTTTTGGATAGTTCACTGTTAGTATACAGAAATGCTAATTATATTTATCTGTTGATTTTGTATCCTTCAACTTTACTTCTCTTTTAGTTCTAATCGTTTTTTGGTGGAGTCCATATATATGTGTGTGTGTGTATATATATGATTATGTCATCTGCAAATTGAGACAATTTAACTTCTTCCATTACCATTTGGATATCTTTATCTTGCCTAATTGCTCTGTCTAGGACATCATGTAGTACTTTGTTGATTAGCAGTGGCAAAAGGGAATCCTGGTTTTTACCCTGATCTTAGAGGAAAAAAATTCAAATTTTGTCATTGAATATCTTAACTGTGGATTTGTCTTATGGCCTTTAATTGTGTTGAGGTGCATTCCTTCTATACATTTGTTGAGAGTGTTTAATCATGAAAGAATGTTGAATTTTGTTAATAACAGATGTAGAAAAAAACATTTAACAAAATTTTAGTTCATTTTGTTAATATGATCTATCACATTTATTGATGTGTAAATCTTGAATCATTTAAAAATCGATAAATGTGACAAACCATATGAATCATCTTTGCACTTCTGGAATAACTTCCACTTGGTCCTGGTGAGTGATCCATTTAATGCGCTCTTGAATTCAGTTTGCTAGAATTTTGTTGAGAATTTTTCACACCTATATGTACGAAGGATATTGACTGATAATTTTCTTTTCTTGTAGTGTTCTTGTCTGGCTTTTGATATCAGGATAATACTGGCCCTGTAAAATGAGCTTTAAAATGCTTATTCTTTTCCAATTTTTGGAAGAGTTTGAGAAGGATTTGTATTAGTTTTATTGTTTCAATGTTCAGTCGAATTCAGCAGTGAAGCTATCAGGTCCTGGGCTTGTCTTTGATGGGAGACCTTTTATTACTGATTCAATCACCTTAACCATTATTAGTCTGTTTATATTTCCTATTCCTTCATGATTTATTCTTGGTAGTTTTCAGGCGTCTAAGAATGTATTCATTTGATGTTCTAGGTTTTTCAATTTGTTGGCATGTAATTGTCCATAGTAGTCTCTTATGACCTTTTGTATTTCTTTTATATGAGTTGTAATGTCTCCCGTTTCATTTCTGATTTTGAGTATTCTTTTTGATTAGCCAGATGGAGGTTTGTTAATTTTATCTTTTCAAAAAACAAACTCAATTTTGTTGACCCTTTTTAGTGTTTTTCTAGCATATTATTCTTTTTCCAGGTCCTTAAGTCATAAAATTAGGTTGTTTATTTGTAACATTTTCTTTCATTTTTCATATAGTCATTTATTGCTATTAACGTCACTTTAATAACTAGTTTTGTTTCTTGCTATAAATTTTGGTATGTTTTGTGTTCATTTAATTTTTCTCAATATTTCTTTCAAATTCTTGAATTCTTTTTTGACCCATTAGTTTTTCAGGAATATGTTTAATTTCGATGTTTTGTATGTTTTCTGAAATCCTGTTACAGATTTCTACTTTCATATCATCGTGGTCAGAAAAGATACTTTATATTATTTCAATCTCCTTAAACATGTTAAAACTATTTTTGCAGCCTAACATATGCTCTATACTGAAAAAAGTCCCATTTGTGCTTGAGAAAAACATGCATTTTACAGCTGTTGAGTAAAATATTCTGTA